ATGTGCGTCTGTATATGTTGTCTGCAAAAGTGTGTATCTAAGAGTCGGTATCTGCTTAGTGTCTGTAGTCACCTGTCTGAGGGAGTCTAGGTATAGTCTGGGAATGTGTCTGAATGTCTGTGACCCTGCACTTGTGTGTGTGTTGGGGTCGGTGTGTGTTTGAATGTCTCAGTGTGTGTATGACATGGTCCAGGTATGTGTATCTGTGCACGAGTCGGGCTTGGATGGTCACTGAGTGCAGGGAAGAGGTTTGAGGGTATCTACTTATGAGTGTGATTAGGCCTGTGTGATTGCAGGGACAGTTCTGCTAGGCGTGCTAGGCAGACCCACCCACACACTCAGTCCTGGTCCTGTTCCTAGCTGGTCACTCACCTGACTCCGTCCTGGAGGTTTCAGGGGGCCCCGGGGCCCCACAGGGGGCTGGGGGCAGGTGCTGCTCAGGCCTTCTGGGTCTGCCCTGCCCAAGGGACAGAGGAAAAGGTGAGAGGCTGGCTTGGGATGGGCACACTCCCCTACCTTACCCCCTTGTTGGGCATCAGCCATCCCCGCTCCATCTCAGGCTCCCTGATGATAGCCTGGTTGTCATAGCAACTGTTACAAGGGAAATGAGCCACCTGGTTGTGTTTTGGGGGCATTTCTTAGGGAATATTCTGGGCTCAGGAGGCTCTTAGTACCCACAGGGATGGTGTGAGGAGGGGAGTAGCCTTGTCTTCTAGACATGTGTTCAGGGATACACAATCACATGTATGATGCAACTCATGTCTACAGTTGTCCCTAGCACCGGGTCACAACTCTGCACATTTAGTTATACACAGACACAACCCCAACTATACACACAAGGTCACACAGACTTACCTAAACAGTCACAGCCACTACAAACATCTTGTTCACAGATATACACAGTCTCCACTACAGACATATGTCTACATGCATATAGAGAGTCCCAACCTGCCTAGGCCCTGCCACAAACACCTGGTCATGCCAGCTACTGATATTTGGTCACTTCTATTTTTTTCATCCACATACAAAGAGCTGAGCCCAGGCATACCCACTAGAGTGGCATATGTACAGCCACACCCAATGACAGTTATGTTTCCTCAGGCAGCCACCCAAGATATTCACATCACAGACGCACTCACATAGAATCACACCCAGTCACACAGATGAAATCACACACATAAACACTTATCACACCTAGCTCCAATGCTGTGTGTTGACATCTGGTCACGGATGCATGCAGACATACACACAGCCACACCCAGTCACAGCCAAATGTGTTGAATCATCTACAGGCACACAGCTGCACATGGACATTCAACCCTTGATATCAATCACACCAATACACCTTTTTGGTCACACACTGTCACACAATGACACATACCCAGTCATAGGGGCTCACATTTAGTCACAGTATCAACTAACTTATATGGACAGTCCTCCATCACCAATCAGACAGAGACCTGGATGGCCATGGCCCATGCATTATAAAGAAACAGGCTGGCACACTCAAGACATGCATACAACCACCCAGAGACAACTGTCCCCAAGGATGGCCACACTCAGACACAGCCAGACAACTGGTGGTCCAGAGTCACAGCCATACACATTTCAGAACTGGTCGTGTACGCAAAGTCACACAACATCAGTGTCCATATTACCTGGCCATATATCACAGTCATAATTCTGTCACCCGATAATCCCTACCCAGCTGTACCACATCACAGCATCACAGAGAAACACATAGTCTCTCTTCATGCAAACACACAAGTCACACAGACACGTGACCACATACAATCACAGCCCCATGTAGTCAGACACATATCTCACACATAGAGACATCAGCACACAATTTCCACTTTACACACTACACTCACACAGTCAGGTGCATGCTCAGAAATGCAGTGACCCAGACATAGCATTTACAGCTGCATGTATGCAGAAGACGCAGCTCCTGACAGTCATGCTGTCACCAAATCACACTCAAACACCAGCAGTCCAGCATACACACAGACACACACACACCAAATAGTCACACAGCTAGACACACGCTCACAGCCCATGACACAGACACAAGTACTCACAGTCACCCAGGGTCACAGACATGCAGGTCACACAAATATAGAAGCCCCAGTCACCTACACTCCCTCCAACACACACAGTAGCCTGGTGCCATCAGACACAGACACACCTATATCTTGAGTTAGATACAGTGAAATAACCCACTATTAATGGTCAGCCAGAGTTTCAGACCCCAAGTCAAGTACATAACCCAAATCACACATTCGCAACTGCAACTACACACAATCACTCAGTATCAACACACAGCTAGATACAGTCATTTATATAACTCTGGTCATATACACAGACCAGTCACACAAACATACAAGTCACAGTGCCATCACACACACCCAGTCACATAGGCACAACGTGACTGACTTCGTATACAATGGCAGTCACATATTCAGTTGCAGGGACATGTGCCACAGACCTATGTGTGACACAAATATAAATCAGACACAACCACAAATGTACACAATCATTGGGAGAGTCGCACATGGACAGCCATAGACACAACTCCATTTACACATAATCACAACTCCACCCACATCTTCAGTCAACCACACACAAGTCCAACCCCAGACTCAACAGATGCACTTCCACATACCCAGTCATAGTTACCAAGGCACACAAACACGGGGTCACTAAAGATGGAACCACAGACACAACCCCACAGTCACAACCATGCACACACCCAAACAGACTGAAAAGTACAGGGTTCTTTTAGAGCAGCTGTCGTATACACATAGTCACACAAATGCTGGGGTCACTCACAGACACAACCACAAGCACAAAACACAGACACAAGATTCCCCATAGTCACCAGCACAGACACACACACAGAGCCAGTCACGTAAACAGGGGGTCACACTCAGGCACCCCCCGTCGCTTTCTTCCCCCCTCCCCCCCAGGTACCACACACAAAGCCGCCATCACCTCCGACGCTGCAGACAGACTACAGTCGGTCTCTGGGAAGCCGCCCCCACCCCTTCCAGCATGAATCCTGGAGCGCGGGGGACCGGCGCATTATCCGAGGGTGGGGCCACTCCCAGGCAGCTGGGCAGCCTCAGGGACAAAGGGGGTGGCCCAGAGGACCTGAGCCCTGGGACCCTTGACCAAGCAGAGAGGGGAAAGGGGATGTGCCTGAAATTTCCCTGATTTTATTCAGGCTGGGGTGGGGGTGGGGTCCCAGGCACTGGGACCTTGTTTTGAGAAGGGGCTGTTCCTGGGACGCTGCCCAGGGATTGGGGGGAGGGGGAAGGATGCTGTGCCCAGGACGCCTCTGAGGGACAGATCTGCCTGGAAGCCCCCAGGTCTTGGGTTGGTGGGGAACCTGTGCCCAGGGACCCACCAAGACCTTGCCCAGAGGGTTGTTGTGCTCAGAGCTCCCCTCCGGCAGGGAGGAGTCGGGATGGCGTCTGGGCTGGAATCGCCTCCAGGAGGCCTTGGCTTCATCTGGGGGTTGTGTCCCGGACCCATCCCCAAGCCTTGCGGAGGGAGTTGTACCGAGAATCTGTCGCCCTGTCCTTGGTTTTTCTGAGGTGGAGTTCGGTGTCGGGGGTCCCTATCTCTAGGGCCTTGGTAAAGGAGGGCCTTGGCGAGACCCCTGTCTCCCAAGCTTTGACTTGGTGGGGGTCAGTTCGTGGACCCCCACCCCGGACCGCACTCTCCAGCCTTGGCACCCTCTCCCCATCGGGGTGCCTCCCACCCTCCGCCACATCAGCAGCGGCGCCGCCCCCCACCCGAGCCCCACTCTCCCGCCCTTCTCACGCTGGC